CTCCTGGCTCTGTGCTCAAGAATTACCCCTGGCGGTGCTCAGGGGACCATATGGGATGCTGGGAATTGAACCCCGGTCTGCCACGTGCAAGGCAAACGCCCTCCGCGCTGTGCTATTGCTCCAGCCCCTTTATGGACTTCTTAAGTGCCCTTTTTAATCAGAAGTTAAGTTGGATGCAGGATAATTGCAGTTGTTCATTTTATGAACTTTATAAGTGCCCTTTTTATCTAAAGTTGGATGCAGGATAATTGCAGTTGCTCCTCTGTTTCAGTATCTTACTCTTTTAATTTAGGTAAATGATCTCCGTAAAGAATTAGAAAGTCGAGCTCTTAGTTCTAAAGGATTAAAATCCCAGTTAATAGCTCGATTAACAAAACAGCTTAAAGTAGAAGAGCAAAAAGAAGAACAAAAGGAGTTAGAAAAATCTGAAAAAGAAGAGGAAGAGGAAGATGATAGAAAATCTGAAGACGATAAAGAGGTACATCCTATTTAAATGTACTGTTAAATGTAATACTGGCCGCGTAACATCTTATTATCTAGTTCTTACTCTGGAGAGCCTGGCAGGCTACCAAAAGTATCCTGCCCACACGGCAGACTCTGGCAAACTCCCTGTGGCGTATTCAATATGACAAAAACCAGTAACAATGGGTCTCATTTTCCCAACCCTGAAAGAGCCTCGAATTTGGTACTTCTTAAAATCTCAGGGCTAGGATGAAGAAGACGTTACTGGGGCCTGCTCAAGGCAATCAATGAACAACAGGATGACAGTGATACTGGTTTATAGGAATTTCTTGTGATGTGTGTGTAAAACATTCATAAAGGAACAATTTTCGTAGCAAAGCTCAACCTTCTTAGCTAACAGTTCTGCTTCCTTTGGGAAATGCTTGTAACTACCCCAAAATCAGAATAGGAGATAAGTACATCACTCTCAATTTCCTGACATGCTGAAGAGATAGTTGAAGTAGTACAGGGTTTCTCCCACTCCTTTTTTGATGGGACACCCGCATAGTGGTTTGTGGTATGACTGACTGGTCCAAGGATGTGGCACTGCTGAGGCTCCCTGGGCTATACCCACATCTCCGCGCTCTCCCAGAAGACTGTTTCATTTGCAGGAAATCTGGAATAAAGAGAGTTGGGGGACAAAGAAATGGCAGGTCCTTGCATGGCATCAAGAACAATTTGATGCACGGTACCACATTATCCTATATCCCTGTAGCACCACCCCACGGTGTCACGGGGTATAGCGCCAGGGGTGACCTGCTAATGCCTCATCCTTCTGAGCCCTTTCGTTGAAGAACCTGCCATCGGGAGAGGCCTTGACCCTTCTGGGTACTGCGTGGGAGGGAAACCTCCCCAACTGCACATCCCCAATCACCACCCAGAAAAAGACAGTTGGGAGCCAAAAAGCAGCAGTTGTTGTATGTTTTATTCTCACTGTATCAGGAGACAACATGTTGCCTGTCTTGGGACAGCAGGTAGAGGATGTCCTGGGCCAAACTGGGTTTGGTCCTCATCACCCTAATGGTCTCGGTGATCCCTGAGAATAGAGCCAGGAGTGATAAGCCCCAGGTGTTGTGCTCCAAACAAACTGCTATCCTGTTGGTAAAATTTATCTTTTTTTTTTTTTATCCTTATCAATATAATCACCCTGAGGAGTGATGGGATTTTGTGTATTTCTATTTGCAGTCTTGTAAAAGCATTTGATATGGAGGCATAACCGTACTTAAATTTCTTTTTAAATGTAGGAAGAAGAAAGAAAGCGTCAGGAGGAAATGGAACGTCAGCGTCGGGAAAGAAGATACATTTTGCCGGACGAGCCAGCCATCATCGTACATCCAAACTGGGCTGCCAAGAGTGGCAAGTTCGATTGCAGCATCATGTCTTTGAGTGTACTTTTGGATTACAGGCTAGAAGACAATAAAGAACATTCCTTTGAGGTGAATTTAGGCGTGGGATGCAATCGAAATAAGGTTGTCTTCTATTTCCTACAGAGTGATTGTTGGTTATGAAGCCTTACCAGTTCAGCCTTCTTAATTTTCCAACTTAATTCTCCAAGACTACTTTATAGAATGTGGTGTGTCTCCTCACTACATCAGGAGACAACATGTGACATACACATACGTGCATATACATAATGCAATGCATATGATATGACGCGTGTTGTATATCACATGTCTGTCATGTGATTTATCGCATAGCAGATATAAATCTCTTTTGTATTGAGGTTCAACTATCTAGAATTTAAGTGTCATTTAATAAATTATGTTTAATTTTGTGATTGAGGTGTGGTGTAAGATAAAGCAGTTTGTGCCAGGAAGTTATTTCAAAAGGAGATACTTTTTAAAATATTTCAAAGGGCTGAAGCATGTGGTATGCATATTAGAGGCTTCTGTTAGGTTTCTGCACCACCTGGTCCCCTAAGCAGGCAATCCCAGAGCCCCGAGCAGACAAAAGGTAAGACAGTTTACCGGGCTCTCCGAGAGGGATGGAGGAATTGAACCTGAGTCAACTGCGTGCAAGGCAAACGCCCTACCCTCTGTGCTATGTAATAAAAGTTTTTGCAGATGCAAAAAAGAAAAATCCCATCTGAATTAGTGTAGAATGTTCAGTATAAATTGAACCACTAATTCGTTTTTGAAGAAGTATAAAATCCCTTAGCAAGCTAGAAACACAGGATTTCCTATGCTTTTTTTTGGGGGGGGGGGGGCGGGTGGACACCCATTATTGCTCAGGAATTCCTCCTGGCTCTGCTTTCAAGAGTTAATGCCTGTGCCAGAGTGGATATTACAGTGGGTAGGGCGCATTTGCATTGCATGCTGCTGTCCTGTGTTCAATTCCCAGTCAGGAGTGATGGCTGAAATGTGTGTGACCTCTTTGCAAGTAGGAGGCCTGGGTTCCTAACCCGCACCATGTGGTCCCTGAGAGAAACGTGGAGTAAACCCTTATTTCTCAGGGTTTCTACCCAAAACAGTTGGAATGGCTCTGTGGTAACATGCATTGCTTGCACATTCGATTCTTGGGTTTGATCCCCCACAATGAAAAGGGCCATTTCAAAAGCAGTTCTTTGCTAGCAGAATGATCCTTCCATCCCCACCCCCCTCCCCCCATAACATATCACTGTGGCTATTCTCATCATTATCATTCAGAGACATATGTCGTCTCAACTCTTACTTGATGATTCTCTGACTTTAAATAACTTACGGATTTATTCAGTGTTTCAATATTCAACGTTAAAGTGACTGAATTTGTTGTTGTTGTTTTATAACAGGTTTCATTGTTTGCAGAACTTTTCAATGAAATGCTTCAAAGAGATTTTGGTGTCAGAATATATAAGTCATTATTGTCTCTTCCTGAGAAAGAGGACAAAAAAGAAAAGGAAAAGAAAAGCAAAAAAGAAGAAAGAAAAGATAAGAAAGAGGAAAGAGATGACGAAGCCGACGAGCCAAAACCCAAACGGAGGAAATCGGGCGATGACAAAGAGAGAAAAGATGACAGAGATGAGAGGAAGGTCTGGGAACCGTCTCCATGAGCAGCAGCCTCATTCGCGTCTTTTCATTGTGGTCCTCTGAGTTTTAGTCAGTGTTGGTGAATTCCATCAGTAGTATGGGATTGAAAGCCAAATCGGAATTTATTGCTGAAAATCTAATTCTTGGGGCTGGAGCAGTCGTGCAGTGGGTCGGGAACTTGCCTTGAATGCGACCACCCAGCCAGAGTTCGGTTTCTGGCACCCTGTAAGGTCCCCTGATCGCCACCAGAAGTGCCTTTTGGGCACTGAGCCAGAGCAAGCCCTGAGCACTTCTGAGCGTGGTGCTCATCCTTGGTTTTGTTTTTGTCTTTGGCCTTTGGGCCACATCCATTTCGGTGATGCTCAAGGATGACTCCTGGCTCTGCGCTCGGGAATTATTCCTGGTGATGCTCAGGGGACCGTGTGGGATGCTGAGGATCGAGCCGGGGTCGGCCGTGTGCAAGGCAAAAAGCCTTCCCTGCTGTACTGTCGCTCTATCGCTCCGGCCCCTGGAAAAAAGAGTTATTGAAAGAAATTTGGAGAGGCCTGAGGACAGAGAGAGAAACTTGTTCAAGAGAACATAGGTTTGCAGAAGCAGGCAGAGGGACATACATTTTCAAGGGAGAGCATGGGCTTCAAAGAGCAGTCTTGTAGCTTATTTTTATAGTGTATGAAGACACTGAGACTGTTTCGAGTAAAATTAATACAATGCATTTTTTAATAGTCCGATTAGCTATTTTAATTTTAAATTACAGAAAGAGGATAAAAGAAAAGATGATTCTAAAGAGGACGATGAAACTGAAGAAGATAATAATCAAGATGAATATGATCCAATGGAAGCAGAAGAAGCCGAGGATGAAGAAGATGGTATAATTCGTATTTCTCTTGAAAATAACATTTTTTACTCTTACTATATTAGAAGTTTAGATATGGTTATGACATGCTCTTTAGCAAGCATCAGCTTACTTTAGGTAATTTTTAGTTGAGAAGATTGTTTTAAGACCTGTTTTTGGGGGGACCGAAGAGAGAGTACAGGGGGGTTTAGGGTAATTGCATTCCCCCCCCCCCCCCCCCCCAAGAAGATGGGTTTTATGGGGATTTGGCCTTTGTTTTTGGTTTGGGAACTGTACCTGTAGGTTGTTCGGAGGTTCTCTCCGGCACAGTGCTCAGGTACCATTTGCATTGCTGGGAATCAGACTGGGATTAGCTGTGTACAAGGCGGCAAACAAGTTTAACTCTTGTGGCAGTCTCTTTTAAAGACTATTTTGTCTGAGCACTGCTAAGATGGCGTAAAGGACTGGAGCACATGTCTGGCTGCAGGGGCCCTGGGGAGATTCCCACTTCTGCCTGGTCCCTGAGTACCAGAATAGTGACCCGAGCAGCACTGAGTGGACTGTTGTCAGGGAGTGACTCCAAGACCTCCAGAACTGTTTGGGACACTTCCCTCTCCAAAATGAAGGAACGGTGTTTTATCTAGGTTTCTGTCTATTGTCGTAGGGTGTGTATGTTATAAATGTTACAAACATCTATGTCAACATCTGAATAGTGATAATTCCTAAACACTGTTAGGTATTAATACCTTGAGGACATCTCCATTTCCAAGGCATTGTTTTATGGTTGAAATTACATTTATTGTACTCATGGTTTTTTCCAGTTAGCTTTTTTTTTTTTTTTTTTTTTAATTTTCAGCGTGTCCTTTCCTTTTTGTTTAAACTTGGCATTGTGGGGGCCGGAGCCATAGCACAACGGGTAGGGCGTTTGCCTTGCACGCGGCCGACCCAGGTTCAATCCTCCGCATCCCACATGGTCCCCCAGCACCGCCAGGAGTAATCCCTGAGCATCGCTGGGTGAGACCCAAAAAGAAGAAAAAATGAAAATGAAAAATAAACTTGGTATTGTAATTCTGAATTTTACATATAAACCCCCAGATTTTTAAACTGTCCTCTAAATCTTCTGTGGTTCAATCCTTTTGTTTTAGAAGCCTCTTGTTTTCTCTCTACTCTGAATTTCGTGTGTTCATGTATGCACACCCGGCGGTGCTTAGGGCTGACGGCTCGCTCCTGGCGGTGCTTGGGGGATCATACAGCATGCTGATCAACCCAGGACCCACGTGCAACACAACTCCTTACTCTCTGGCTCCATCTCTTAGTCTTTATTTTTTCCAACATCGTCCTATTTTATATGACTTTGCTGTTGTGTCTCTTTTTGGGGGGCAGGGTATGGGCCCCACTAAGCTATGCGCTGGGCTTAGTCTCAAACCCAGGTCAGCCACATGGAAGGCAGTTTTCACCCTACTGTCACCCTGGCCCTCCTGTTCTGGTGCCTTTGTTTTTGAATCACACTTGCAGTGCTCAAACATTCCTGGTGGGGCTTGTGGGCAGCCACATGCAGTGCCTGGCATTCAACCCACATGGCTGTGTAGAACACAAGCACTTTCCCCACTGTACTCTCTCTAGCCCGCTGATAACGTTTTCAGTCAGGAGCTGTCTCAAAGGACTGGAGTGCATAGTTTGAATATGGGCGGCCCAGGTTCGGTTTCTGATTCTTCACCTGATATCCCTGATCACTACTGGGGAATAACTGTCAAGCCCCGCACCAGGTGTAGCCCCCAAAGACCCAATAAAATAGCAACTTCTTTTTTCTTGTATTTATTTCGCAGATCGGGATGAGGAAGAAATTAACAAACGAGATGACAAGAGAGATGTTAACAGGTACTGCAAGGAAAGACCCTCTAAGGACAAGGTACATATTGAATACTGCATTATAATGTTAGTTTTCACATCCTGTGTTATCTAGCTTACGGTCAAACATAGCACTGCTGTAAAGTGTGTTAGTCGTTAATTTTGGGGTTGTTTTGTTTTGGGACATAGCGGTTAGGCTCAGTGATGGCTCTAAGGAATCAGTCCTGGCAGTAATCAGGAAATCATGGGATGCTGGGGATCGAACCCAGGTGGGCTGCATGCAGCGCCCTACCTGCTGTACTATCACTCTGGCCCCAGAATTTTTTTGTCTTAACATATGTACATACTACTACTAAGAGCAGAGTTTGGCTTTTAGTAGTGTTTGATTTGTTTTCGTGTGGCTATATCAGACAACTAGAGTATCTTCTTTTAAACCATGTCGGTTTATTTCTGCAAAGATGTTTCAGACTTTTGTTATTTATGTGGTATCAGGTTATTCATTTTTAGGGTAAGAATTGTATACTGTATCTTACATTTTTTCTTTTCTTTTTTTTTTTTTGGTTTTCTTTTTGTATCTTGTATTTTTGTTTCGTTTCCTAAAGACTTGTTATTTATATGGTGTCAGGTTGTTCTTTTGTAGGGTGAGAGTTGTATTTTTGTTTCATTTCCTTTAGGAAAAAGAAAAGACTCAGATGATCACAGTTAACAGGGATCTGTTAATGGCATTTGTGTATTTTGATCAAAGCCATTGTGGTTACCTTCTTGAAAAAGATTTGGAAGAAATACTTTATACTCTTGGACTACATCTTTCTCGGGCTCAGGTAACATATCTTGTGCGTTTTGATTTGTTTATTTTGGGTTCACACTCAGCTGTGCTCAGGGCTTTCTCCTGGCTCTGCACTTGGGGGACCATATGGAGTGCTGGGGATGGAACCCACGTCGTCCACGTGCAAGGCAAACACTCTGCCTGCTGTGCTGTCTCTCCAGCCCCTTTAGTAAATATTTTTTGAAAACAATTTAAAAGGTAACAATATATTTAGCTCTGTAGATTTATTTTGAAGTAAAAGTGATACTGGCTAAAAATGAGATAGTATTAATATATGTAGTCAAATAATGAGTTACATAAAGAAAGCTGAAAGTCTCCACTTTCTCTGGTTTCAGTCTTCAGGCCTAACGAGTAAGTTGCTTTCTTTGTTTTGGGTTTTGAGCCACACTCCCCAGTGCTTTGGCTCTTTGCTTGGGTGTCGTCCTGGCGGGGTTGGGCAACCACTGGAGTTCAGGAGATGAACCAGGGCCGGCTTCATGCAAGGCAAGCACTGTATTAATGCTCTGGTCCCTTACTCACTGTTTTTCAAAAGAGACCGTCCAAAATGATGATCAGATTCCGAGTCACTCCCAGATGCTTGTTTCGTGTTCTGGCAGGCTGTGTAGTGCTTGAGCCCCCGGTGTCATCCAAATGATGCTCAGGAACTGCCAGGCCCTTGGTGGTGTTAGAGGTGGGAGGCCTTTGGGTGGCATTTGGTCCTGGAGATCAGGCTCAGATGGGTGCACATGCTAGGCATGTGTCTATACCACTTGAACTTCTTTCTTGCCCATTATATCGTTGTTCTATGACTGCTTTTGATGCCATGACAAAGAGCAGGCATTTCCCTGGAAAGTTTCGTTCTTTAAGCAAAAGGCAGCTCAGGCCCGCATAGTCACAGCGTTCCACAGGAGTTGGTACCACCCACTTTGGGGAACCAGAGATACAGATGGACCTTAGAGGCCTAACTTGGTCGAGGTTACCGTGTGGTTTCCACTTGGGATATTAAGAGCCGTGCTCGTAATACGCATCATTGTACATATACATACAAACATGTGTGTGTTTGTTTGTTTTTTGTTTGGGGCCCACACCCAGGGGTGCTCAGGGCTTGTTTGTGTGTTTGCACACGGAAATTAATCTCAGCATCGTTTTTTGGTGCCATATGGGATGCCAGGACTCAAACTCAGGTCATCTGTATGCAAAGCAAGTGCCTTCCTACTGAACTCAAGCCCCTGTACGTAAAATTTTTGTGCATGTGTTAGTCTTTAATATGAGCGTCAAACTTTTAACATTGTTTTTTCCAAATGATATTTTGGATGTTAGGTTTATAGAAAATAGAGACTCATAAGAGCCCTATTTGAGTGGGAATGAGAAACCTGAGTAAACCAACGCCATTGGTACTTACCATCTGTGAAAATTAGAAGTTACTAAAAATAAAAATCTTGTATTTAAATACGTTTACTTGCCTTTATAACAGGTAAAGAAGCTGCTTAATAAAGTAGTACTCCGTGAGTCTTGCTTTTACCGGAAATTAACAGACACCTCAAAAGATGAAGAGAACCATGAGGAGTCTGAAGCTCTGCAGGAAGACATGCTAGGTTGGTTTTCATTTGTTCACTTTAAGATCTGACTGTTTCATAACAGTTGTGTCACTCAAAACTTTCTAAAACGCGGCGTTTATGTAATAGGAAACAGGCTGTTACTGCCCACACCGACAGTAAAGCGGGAGCTAAAGGACGTCGAAGAAAATGTTGGCCTCATCGTGTACAATGGCGCAATGGTAGATGTAGGAAGCCTGTTGCAGAAATTGGAAAAGAGCGAGAAAGTAAGAGCTGAAGTGGAACAGAAGCTGCAGCTCCTAGAAGAGAAAACGGGTAAGTGAACTGCACGGTACGTGTCCGTCGTGTTGTGTGTTTTGTCTTGGTGTCACAAATGATGGTGCTCAGGAGCGCCTCCCCACTCTGGGCTCAGGGGTCACTCCTGGCTCTGTGCGGAGTCTGGCAGTGCCAGAGATCGAACCTGGCCTCCCGTTTGCATAGTATGTGGTCAGCTCTGTGCTCTCTCTGGCCCACCGTCCATATTCTGTCTGGCCGTGTGCACGCGCAAACGTAGATGCCTGAGCACACAATGTGGAGCACTTCTTTAAGCATCACCAAGCTGCTTGGCTTGTAGTCACAGCTAGGCCATCGTGTACATAATAGGTTTCTTTGTTCTTTTCAGTTCACCTTTAAATTCACTTGAACTTTCTGGTCTTTAAATAAAATGATTTGAGTTTACTTTTGAGCTATTTTGATCATTTATGGCTATCTTAAGGGAAAGTATCTTTTCCTAATTTCAATATTTTTAACTCGGTTAAATCACAGATTTTTAGGTACGGGAATGATAAATTTGTGGTTATTTTTTAACAGATGAAGATGAGAAAACCATATTAAATTTGGAGAATTCCAACAAAAACCTCTCCGGTGAACTCAGAGAAGTTAAAAAGGACCTTAGTCAGTTACAAGAAAACTTAAAGGTTTCAGAAAACCTGAATTTGCAATTTGAAAACCAACTGAATAAGACAATCAGAAACTTATCCACAGTAATGGATGATATTCACACGGTTCTCAAGAAGGTTAGCTGTTTCGTGTTCACAATGTTTTTATGGTCTCTTTCTACTTCAAAATCTGTTTCCAGCAGTTTTATTGTTAGCGCTTAGAGTATTTTAAAGAACTATCTAGCGTTCCCTCCTTTGCGTCTAAAACAGTTCCCAGAGCTTGTAATTTTTGTAGACCTTAGTTGGGTTGCAGAACAGTTCAGACGAGGCAGCGGGGTCCATTTGGCCGCTCCAGGCACTGCTTGCCTCTCGGCTGGGCCTGATCTGTGAGTGCTGGTTAGATGCGCAGGGCCAGTGGTGCTGGGGACGCCTGGGGTCGAACTGGCAGGTCCTGCGGTCCATTTTTTTTCCCCCTTTGTTGTTTTGGGGCCACAGCTGGGCGTGGGTGGGGATCAGTCCTGGCGGGACGTGGGGTACCACGTGGGGTACGGAGGATGAGGCACGAGTGCCGCTCCTTCCCTGCTGTCTGATCACCTGGGCCCTCCGCTCCTCCTCCCGGCGTGTCTCTGGCCCTGCGTGTGCGGGCTGCTGTTCGGCCCTTCCCGCTCCCCGTTCGCAGGCAGCTTTGAGCCACGTTTCTCTGTGCTGTCTCTCCAGCTCCTCAGATTTTTAGGTTTAAGAGGGTCCTCTCCAGTGGTGCTCTGGGCCGGGGTCCACTCCAGTGATGTTCTGTGTGCAGCTCTGATGGTTCACCTCTCATACCAGTTGTTAATGGGACCACCGAGACCAGGCGCCTGGCAGTGCCTGGGGGCTGGGAGGTGCCTCCCGCTGTAAGGCTTGTGCTTCTTATGTTTTGAACTTTTTCCCTGGCTCCAGGCACTGTCAGGTTTCATTTGCTTTGGTCTCTCCTCCGCTCTGTGCCTGCATGTCCCTGGGTCATTGGTTAACATTACTAAAAGATTCCAGAACTTCACACTTGGGGTGGGGTGGGGGGCTGGGCTACACCTTGCAGCGTCCAGGGATCACTCCTAGTGGGCTCAGGTGACCACGTTGAGTGCTGAGGATTAAACCCAAGTGGGTCACATGTAAGGCCCTACCCACTGTCCTGTTGCACCAGTCCCTATAAATTTCCACTTTGGTATGTGTGTGTGTTCTTTCTAAAGGGGAAAAACTCGATGTCAGATATTTTATAATTGAGAAATCTTTTACATTCTGAGTCTTACTCAGAAAAATAAGGGGAGAAAAAGACTAGAATGTAAGGAATATTATACTGTTATTCTCAAGAAGCTCTCAATTTCTTTTTTCTGTTACTGTTTGACTTTGTTCTGGGGCCACACAGTGTGCTCGGGGATTTTTCCTGGAGTGTCAGGGAATAACCAGTACGCACCTGGCAATACCCCGAGGTTACTCCTGACTACATTCAGGGATGACACCTGGTGGTGCTCAGGGGATCATGTGGGATGCTGAGGCTCAAACCTGGGTCAGCCATTTGCAAAGCAAGTGCCTTACTATGCTATTTCTCTAATCCTCCCTTTTCTGTTCCTTTGTCGCTTTTGTATTTGCCTTGCTGGAGATTGAATCTGGGGCCCTAACACATGGAGGCAAGATCTTTGGGGACAAGGGCGGTTTGTGGGCTCCTTCTGAGAATCCTCAGCCAGTTAGGCCAGTGGTTTGCTTTGCGTTCTGGAGCCTGGGACTATGCTACTTCTCAGTCCATGCATTGCCAAGGATTACCTGGTCTGCCCCAGTTGTACTTGTGGACCTCCAGAGCTGTGCCCAATTATGCTTAGAGAAGCGTGGTGCCAGGTCCGCTGCATCTAACTTCTTTGCTAGGAGATAAGCGTTTGCCTTGCATCCAGTAGACCCTGGTTTTGTCCATGGCACCGCATGTGGACCCCAGAATACTGCTCCCAAAAAAACATGTGCTATCTTTAGTAACCGGAATCTATTGATTCCTCGTGATGTTTGCAAATAGCTTACATGCCTAAATGCTAGAAGCGAGTCTTTTTTGTTTTGCTTTTGGAGGACACACCCAACTGTGTGCAGAGCTTACTCCTGGCTTTGCACTCGGGAGTTATTCCTGGCAGTGCTCGGGGGCCATATGGGTCAGACCCTGTACAGCTGTGGCTCAGACCAAAGCAGTCTCCCTACCCTCTGCGTTACCTCTCCAGCCCTAGGGAGTGCTTTCTAGTTGCCCTCAAGTCAGCCAACTGCCTAGAGTGATGAAAGTTAACGCACTCGGTTATGTTTATCTTATGTTTGCTGTCTCAAACTTCGAAGAATTTCAAGACGTGCTTTTTCTTTTTCTCTTGTTTTATAGGATAATGTGAAGAACGAAGATAAAGATCAGAAATCGAAGGAGAATGGTGCCAGTGTATGATAAAACACATATCGTGATGAGGAATGGTGTGAAATAATGTAATATATAAAAATCATGATACAAGAATGTTTGGAAGTGATGCATGTTTGATTCTAGTAGTATAAATATCTGTTAGTTCAAATGATGTATAAAGTTTTATGGATGTGAGAGTCTCTGCTTTTGAAAATTGCTTGTAATTCCAGCATTCAAATTATTAAAACACTCCTTGAGTGAAGTAATTTTGCATCGCAAAATGTTTTTTAGGATGAACTTTGTTATAGTTTTAACCCCAATAAAGTTCATCAATTTAATTGACAGTATTTAATTACCAAATGTCTTTTATTACCTAGAGAATTAAAAATTTATTTATAGAATGATTAGGTTTTAATTTTATTTTTTTAGTCTTAAATGTTCAGTATAAATCATACAGTAGCATGCTGCTTCAATTGTTGCAAGGTTTTTGAACTAGAATTCTCTACTGGAAAAAAATTAAAAACCCTTTCAGTTTCTACAAAAGCATTCACTAAAAATTCGATTTATGCAAAGCCAGTACATCAAAAAGTAAGAAAGTCGTCAGCGCCACTGTTGTTACTAGCTTAGGCTTTGCAGAAAATTAATAGTTGATGATGTTACCGTTGCTGCTTTCAATTGCCTACTTTCCAGTTATACCTCCAATATTTTAATTTTGAGGGTTTTTTTAATGCAGCATATTTTAATGTACAGTTTAGTATCAAGCCAGTAGATGTCAGTATGATGTTTAAGTTAAGTATTGTTTAATTAAAATAATTTTTTTTTTTAGTCTGCGCACTTCTGTCGGTTTTTGTTTTTTGGTGTTTGGACCATACCCATCAATGCTTGGGGGACTATTCCTAGCACCATCTGCTTGGAATGCCAGGGGCCATGGGGTGCTCGGGGTGGGGATCCTGAATGTAGAAACTGTTCTTCAGTTCTTTGAAGTGTATCCTCAGCCCCCTCGTGAGAATTTAATGGCTACATAAGTAATGAGGTAGGCAGTGGAATACTTGAAACCGGTAGTTCTTACGGAGGTAAATTTGGAATCTTAGCAGTTGTCGTTGTCTAGTGACTATTAGTTGTTACAACTGGTTGAATTCTCTCGGCATCGAGTTTGTAGATTCCAAAGATGTGGCTGAAAATCCTCTGTTGTATAGGATAACCAGCACAGCAAATTGTGCCGTTCAGTGTATCAGCAATAGTTGGTCGGTAAGAATTTAGGCTTATAGTTGCTTTCCAGATAACTCTAATGAACACTGAGGTGCATCTTTAGAAGATATTTAGTAGGGATTTTTATTTCCTGTTTTGTATTTCAATCTTCACTGGAATGTTTCGCTATTGTGCTATGTTCGGATTTACTTAATTTCATTTTGCTTTAATAGTGACTAGGTGTTCCCAGTAGGTGAATATAAGAATGTCAGTGCCGTTACAGATCATCTGACTAAACGGAATCCACATGGTTTTTGCTAAGAAAGAGATTAAAATATCTGAAATGCTTTCAAACTGTTTTACTTGTAAGTCGCTGTTTCTGATCTTACAGTTTGTTGCATTTCTCTGGGGTCAGACTTGTGATTGGTCTTAACGCTTGTTTCTCCCATATTTTGGTAAGATTAAGCATTATAAGGCAATTGAAAGGCCTTCTCGCTCTCTGCTTGATCGTGGCTCACACGTGACATTTAGTGTGGGTGCGTCCTGGGCTTCAATTTTGTTAAGCTCTGGATATAATTCCCAGCCCCCCAAAAGAAAATCAAGCTTCAGACTTATACGTGAATAGCACTTACAAATTATATACTTAATTTTTCTTGTATGTCAAGAGCGTATTATGTCAGCTAGGGTACTACTTAAGTCACTGAGTCAGCTCCTTGTATCAGCCTCAGCGATGGCGTCTAAACATGATCATTATGCCTAAGCTAGTGTGGTGGTTATCAAACTCACGTATATCGAAATCTCCCAAAAGACTGAAAACACAAGTCGCTGTACTATATCCCAGAATACCAGAATTTGACTTTGTGAAGCTCTGGTGTAAGGTCCCAAAATTTACGTTTCTAATACTCAAGTGTTCTTGCCATTCCAGGAACTCAGCTTCCTAAAATATTCAGAGACAAGTTTTTCTACTAGATCGGTTATAAAATACGGCAAGAGGGGGCTGGAGCAATAGCACAGCGGGTAGGGCATTTGCCTTGCACGTGGCCGGTTCCCGGGGTTCGATTCCCAGCATCCCATAGGGTCCCCTGAGCACCGCCAGGAGTAATTCCTGAGTGCAGAGCCAGCCTGAGCTACTCCAGGTATGACCCAAAAAGCCGCCCCCCCCACCCCCCCCAAAAAAAGAAGCAAGAAATTTCTCAGCCTGGGAAGATAGTTCAGATGGCTGGAGTGCATGCTTTACTCCGGTGTCTGATCTAGCCTTCGCTTATTTCCACACACACCCTGCTCCCAAACAGCACAGTTTGTAGTCCTAGGATGTGGGACATATATGCCAACCTGAGCGCCTCGCTGTGGCCCCTCACCGCCAGGCCATATATCACCCATTGTGGTCCCTGGGCTCCCAGACTTGATTGGGGATGTCAAAAAAAAAAAAAACAGAAGCAGCAGTTTTCTTGGAGATTGTATCTCGGGACACTTTCAACTTTTTGCTAATGGTGAATATATCTACACTGTATAAATGATAGCACAAAATGGATGGGTGGGTGCATGGATAGATGGGATGGATGGATGAAAAGTTGGTTGAGCCAGGGATATAACGCCTTGATTGATCCCCAGGGTCTGATCACTGACACCATATGGACACGTTTCTTTATGGGAAGGGTCGCAGAACTGGGATGGTCACTAGGGGGGAGAGAGAAATGTGAATTTAAAATTTTTTTCTCACAAAGTGAAATAGTTTTTTTTACAGTAGAGAGGTCTAGAAATTGAGTAATAGAGGCAGTAAGGGAGGAATTCTTGGAGAGATGTTGACTGTGAGCAGATTCTCCCCACTGTGTCGTCACGAGTTAGTCATCTCCCTGGATTTTGGTTTTGGTCTTGAGTGCTGCCAGGCCTTTCCATGAAATGTCTGTGCTCTGGCCCGTTGGGCCTCTGTCTTCCTGTGAAGGCTTACCGGAAGAGGTAGTGGTCTGTGCAGCTAGAGGACGCTTCCATGACTTGTTTACCTCTCATACAAAAAGTGCTTCGAATGGCTAAGACACGTAGTCAGAACACACTTCAGTTGACCAAATCAGGAGACTTAACTTGGGTCTGGGTAATGAAGTGGATAAGGAGATTCACCTTGTACCTCACCAATCTGGGTTTGATCCCCAGCAACGTGTGTGGTCCCCACAAGCCTGTCAAGAAGTGATCCTTGAGCATCGGCAGGTGTGCCCCCATCCCAGAAAAATTAGGGAAATTCCTAAAATGTCACTCCAGTGAGTATTTGAAGAACGAAACTGTGTTTGGTGATTGATCCGGTAAGTGGAGTCATCTTGTTTTTCCCTAGACCTTACCTTGTCCGGGTTCAGGTGTACAGGTTGACTTTTCTGTCTGAAGGTGTAAACTGGTGGGTGTAGCGATTGCAGGTGGTATGCTAGTAATTCCTGCAACATTGTCGGTGCTACTGAAAGGAAGAGTCCATAGAGTCTGGGGCAGCACTGTAGCACTGCACTGCACTGTCCTCCCATTGTTCATCGATTTGCTCGAGCGGGCACCAGTAACGTCTCCAGTGTGAGACTTGTTACTATTTTTGGCATATTGAAAACTTCACGGGGAGCTTGCCAGGCGTTGCCGTGCAGGCCGAATACTCTCGGTAGCTTGCTGGGGCAGCAATAAGTTGGAAATAAGACTTCAGTGTTGGGGCCAGGAGGACACCTCCGAGTCATGCCCCGAAGAAGAGAAGATTTTGCACAGTCTGGGCTGTTCTAAAGTCAGGGTTCAAGCTCAGCAAACAATTTTGTTGGAGGCCAGGGGCAGAGAAGGGAGCATCTGGGCAGATTTTGAATACTAGACCTTGGTGAGCAGTGGCGTTTGGTTTCATACCACACTCAGACTCAGCACTGACAGTGGCATTTGGGTTCATAGGACTATGACAGTGGCCCTGTTTGTCCCTGTGATAAACTCATAATGTACCGTCACTCGGCGCCTAACTCCAAAGGTTGACGTTGCCCACTGCTAACAAGGCAGGGCTTAAATAGGCTAACTGCGGGTAGTTTTACAGATATTTAGTAACCAGTCTAACCATGTGAGTGCATTTAGTACGCTTTGTTGGTATGAGCTACCTAAATCGGGGAGAGCAAAACCAAATTCAAGATAAATCTGGATTTGCTGTAAGATGAGACGCCCGCCGTCCTAAAGTTCAACTTCCAGTTTCAGTTTCTGTGAGAACTTGGTCTGGTTGGATCTTGGTTGTGTGGGAATCCAGCGATCTGCAGATCAAGGTCATGGTCGGGAACTCGGCCCAGAGGGACGGCTGAGCTCCACCAGCCTGGTGGCGCTTCCTTCCGGCATGTACACACTTTGCCCTTGCTCCTGTGCTTCTAAGGGTCCTTTTGTTTCCATAGGAAATCTCTCAGGTTTTGTTATGAAAAGTACAAATCTGTCCAGAGAGCTACCTTAGAATGGGAACAAAAGTCTCGTTGTGGCCTCTGCAGGTGTGACTAGTCTCTCACGTTTTCCCCTTCGTGTTTTCCAAAATGCTATTTTGGAAGATCAATTTTGTGTGTTTATGGGGTTAGGGCTTAGACTCACAGTTTCCTAATACAGCGCATGTGTTCTAAACCACCAGCTACTTCACTAAGCCTGGAACCTTAGTCTTTACTAAGATATTTAAACTTTAAAAAAATATTTGCAGTCTTAGTTTAGGTATCAGTCACCTTATAAATAGTTGTGCCTTGGCATTAATTTCGCGTCTTGAGAACAGATGGTCTTCCAGCTCGCCAGTTTTTAGAAGCCATGTGCTTTGGACCTAACATCAAAGAATGTCAAAAATTTCTTTCCTTTATTGCACTCTGCAGTCTCATTATTGTTAACGTGGTTAAGACATGAACCAGAGGGGCTCAAGGGGTAGTGCAGGGGTTAATAAGACATTTACCTTGAACGTCAGTCGGACCGACCCTGGTTTGAGCCCCAGTAGTGTTTGAGCTCCATTAGAGGCGGCAGACCCCCCACCTCACCCCCCAGTGTTTTGTGTGTGTGTGTGTGTGTGTGTGTGTGTGTGTGTGTGTGTGTGTTTCTTGTGTTCTACTTCTAGCACAGTGCTTGAGGGTCATTCCCAGAGCTCTGGACCAGGCATTACTGGGGATCAAACTTCTGGCTTCCGGGTGCAAAGCACATACTGTTT